TCAAGAATCACATTTTTTTCTCATCTGAAACTATATCGCTCCCTGCATTTGGTTTGCAGAATTTTTCTTTTTAAGGAGATTGTATTTTTAATTCTGTTTGGCCTGGTTCCCCCTTGTCAGTGCTGTGCCATCTGGGAGTCTCTGGGATAGCAGTCATGGTTTCTTCCATCTTGGTAGCTTCCTGTTCTCCTTCCTTTCCCCCGCAGCTCCCACCGCTCTACTCTAATGCTTCTGGAAGCTACCAAGAAGTTTAAATTGCCTGCGTGAAAATATGTCAGTGACCTATTTTAGCATCTATGTAACATTTATAATTTATACTCCGCCTACATCCCAGAGGGATGTGAGGTGGCTTATGATAAAAAAAACACAAAAACCCCGTATGACCAACAACACTGTTAAAAACAGTCAGAAAGGGAAATCAGAAGCCATTGTAGGGAATCTGTAGCACAAGTGCTTATCAAACATAAGAAGAAAACCCTGTGAAGAGTGAAAGAGGAACATAACCTTTTAATGAAGCAAAGGCTTTGCTGTTTTGGACAAGTAGTGAGACAGGATTATAATTGTGCCCTGAAAATGTTTTGAATGATAACAAAGCTCCTGGCAATATTTCTCCCTTTTTTGCTCTCTGAAATTTTTGTTTAGAAATTGAGAACTGAAGGAATTCTTGGTCAGTCCTCAGTTACCATTGTAGAACTCTCCAGTTTGACTTTCCTAGTTGACTTTACCACTAACAGCTACTGTTTATTGCCCTGTGCCAGATACTCAGCTAGGGATTGGATATGGATTATCTCATTTCCTTCTCCCATTAGGCTTTGCATAGAAGGCATTACTCCGTGTTAAGATGAAGAGGTAACTGGAGTGGTAGTGAGCGTTTGAAGCCAGGCCCTTCTGAATACCAAGCCAATTCCCTTTCTATTACCCTGTGATGCTTCTTGTTTTAAAATGGTATTGGAAAGGTTGGACTTTAAACCTCGTAATATTTTACATCTATTTCCTGTTCTTGCCCAGTATAAAACCCAGAGCCAAGTTAATTCAGACTCGTAGTGACCCTGTAGGACAGAGTAGAGTTGCCCCGTAGGGTGTCCGAGGCTGTAATCTTTACTGAAGCAGACTGTCATGTCTTTCTCCTGCAGAGCAGCCGGCAGGTTCAAACAGCAACCTTTTGTTTGGCAGGTGAGCACTAACCGTGCCACTAGGACTCCCTGCTCAATATAGATATAGTTTCCTTATTTGGGGTTCAAGGATATGCATAGAAGGGTAAGCTGGTGTGTGTGTGTGTGTGCGCGCGCGTGTGTGTGTGTGTGTGTGGAGGGTCAGATGTCCTATTTCTTAGTACTGGGTTGGAGTGCTGAGGTGGGACTGATTACCTTCAGTCTCCTTGGGAGGAATCAGAAGAGGGGGAGGGGGGAACTGGGTGAGGGTGGGCGAGTTAGTGCTGACTGGCCTGTGCCCATCTCTGTTGCTAGCAGTTAGCTGCTGTTTTGGAGTAGAATGTGCTAACATCTATTGAGATGACACTTACTATGTATTATGTAATTCTCACAACAGCTTTTGGGATGAGTCGTTTTAGCCCCGATTTATAGATGGGTAAACTGAAGAACAGAAAATTAAGTGTGCTCAAGGTCACACAAGTAGAAAATGGAATCATCGGTATTCTACTGATCAACAGATTTCTCTGACCCTAAAGCCCCAGGGTCTTTCTCTTACAACCCTGCCTCATCACTGACAGTAACAATAATAACTAGTATTTATTGAGTTCTTACTGTGTGCCAGGCATGGTTTTACCACTTGACTGGATTGTTTCATTTAATCCTTACAACAGCCTTACGAGCTACATACTTATTATTATCTCCATTTTATAGATGAGTGAACTGGGACACACAGAGATGAATAGCTTGGCTGGAATCAGAGAGCAATAGTGGGAAATCAGAAATAAGTCAATCACAAAAGGACAAATATTGTATTAGTCCGTTATTGTCAAAGTTAAGGAAAGGTTTATCTACAGAAGGAAATTTTCTTTGTTGGTTACCAGGGGTAGGAGGGGAGGGAGGGAAGGATGTTAGATAGATAGAGATAAGTATTGATTTGGGTGAAAAGAAGAGCAATGTACCAAATGTGAGTGACCAATATGGCAGCATTGAGGATGAGAAAGACAGAGGGAGGTACATGGGAGGTACAGACAACAAATATGAATCCTTTTGCATATACAGTACTGTGTTGTCAGTGAA